GTGTCCAAATAATACAAAGTTAGGCTCTATTTATAGAGCTCGAAAAATTATGAATTATGGTGCAAAAATAAAAAATTAATTCTGAGTAAATTATTGTCAAAATATCAATTAATAATTGAGGATGGGGTAAAAAAGCATGGCCCAATCAGAGGGCAACACGCGTCCGCGTGCAGGACAAGGCTGTCAGCAGCCCTGCACGCGGACGCGTGTTGCCCTCTGATTGGGCCACACTTTTTTTCCTTTCTTTTTTAATTCCAGCTACTGTATGGTGGGGCCCGCTTGAGTCAGATTTGTGCAGAGAAAACGGTAGGGAAAATTTCCCCCTCTTTGCCTCCGTTTTTCATTTCCCTATCCCAAAAACTACATGCTGTACCAAAAAACTCTCCCAAAAACCACCTGCTGCGGGTGGTCTTAGACCATCTCCAGCAGGTAGGCAAATTTTTACCTATTTTGTCATGCCACATCAGCTTATTCATCCAACACATCATTCAATAACACCCATTTCCCTTCCATTCCTGCAGTAGCTAGTTTTTCAGAAAGTTTTTTACTTTATTAGGGACCCACATGTCTCCATCATATACCCCACCATATTTCTCCACCATATTTATTCATTTTTTCCCTATTTGATATATGTTATTATTATTATAAAATTATTATTCATATATTTATAATTATTAATTTTTTTAATAATGCAATAAAAAATATATAATATGTAATAATATATTTTTAATTTAATTTTTTATATCAAAAATTCAAAAAAAAAAAATAAAAACAAAACACACGATATTATTAATCACACCCAATACCAAACATACACGAATTATTAAAAATATTGAAGAAAACACATAGTAAATTGGTAAATCTAATCGAGGGTTGTTCCAAATTTCTGCCATATGTGCTCGACCAGATCCTTCTTCAACTGAATATGTTGGACCCTATCTCGCAGCTCGGCTCTAGTCGGAATATTCGAAATAATACAAAGTTAGGCTCCATTTATAGAGCTCGAAAAATTATGAATTATGGTGCAAAAATAAAAAATTAATTCTGAGTAAATTATTGTCAAAATATCAATTAATAATTGAGGATGGTGTAAAAAAGCATGGCCCAATCAGAGGGCAACACGCGTCCGCGTGCAGGACAAGGCTGTCAGCAGCCCTGCACGCGGACGCGTGTTGCCCTCTGATTGGGCCATGCTTTTTTTCCTTTCTTTTTTAATTCCAGCTGCTGTATGGTGGGGCCCGCTTGAGTCAAATTTGTGAAGAGAAAACGGTAGGGAAATTTTTCCGCTCTTTGCCTCCGTTTTTCATTTCCGTGTCCCAAAAACTACCTGTTGTACCAAAAAACTCTCCCAAAAACCACCTGCTGCGGGTGGTCTTACTGTGAACAGTTGAAAAGCACTCATCTGATGTCGCTTTCACGATCAATTATGGAATAAAATGACCTTTTTTTTTAAAGGAGAATAATTTGACATTAAGAGTGGCATAATGCGTTATTTCCGGTTTATCCCGTAACACCCTTCTCGTTTCGTACTCTTTCAGTACGTGATTGTGAGCGTCAAAAAGGTGAAGCCACTGGAAGTTTCCTCCGTTGCTTTCTGGAGAACGTGCCCTGGAATATTTGAGGAATATCAATTTTGCCACTGTGGGCGGACAATAATTGTTGTCTAGATTAGGTGTGATTTGATCATTGTCCTTGTTTAATCCTTTCTACTAATCTTCACGCGTTCGCCGGGACAAACTACCAACACCATGGTTTATTAGAAAACGCAGGTTAATTTAAGCAGTGACGGCGTTTACAGAAATTAATTTGGGGGGCACATTTTGGCTAAATCAAGCGGGGGGAAAGCCCTTAACTTTGGACAATTATCAAATAATCCCACATAACATTCAAAATGTCAACAATGCTCCGTACGATTAGGGGTTATCAGAAATCCACACTTAATTTTAAGGTTTTATCATAAACTTTTCTAAAAGTGTGAACCGTAATTTTCATTGAAAAAAATATATTTTTCTATATAATTTTACCCACCCATGTGAAAAATTATCGTTGATGTTGTTTTCCTTTTTCCTCTGTGTGCGTGTTTTTTCTTTTCCTTTTCCTTTTTTTCTTTGGTGGGGTGGGGTTGGGTTTTTTTTGAGTGGGGTGCTAATAACAAAATCTTAAAGTTAAAAGAGGTTTCCACATATTTTAAATTTTTTATTTAGCCTTTTAAAAAAGAAAGACAGATTAACCTTAGCATGGAGATGATACTTAATTTAATGACAGGCCTAATGAACAAAATGTTAATTTTCCAGGTGCTCTGAATATTTAACATGAAAATGAAAATGTTAATTTTTCAATGAAAATAAAAACGTTTAACATGAAAATGAAAATGTTATCAGAAATCCACACTTAATTTTAAGGTTTTATCAGAAACATTTCTAAAAGTGTGAACCGCAATTTTCATTGAAAAAAAATATTTTTCATTGAAAAATTATCGTTGATGTTGTTTACCTTTTCCCTCTGTGTGCGTGTTTTTTCTTTTCCTTTTCCTATTTTTTTTCCTTTGGTGGGGTGGGCTTGGGGGGTTTTTTGAGTGGGGGGTGCTAATAGCAAAATCTTAAAGTTAAAAGAGGTTTTCGGATATTTTAAATTTTTTTATTTAGCCTCTTAAAAAAGAAAGATAGGTTAACGTTAGCATGGAGATAATACTTAATTTAATGACCGACGTAATGAATAAAATGTTAATTTTCCAGGTGCTCTGAATATTTAACTACCGTACCTAGATGTAACCATCCCTGGATGCTACCATCCTTCTTTATTTTTAACCACTTTACCTTAGATCCAACCATCCCTGCACGCTATCATCTTTCTTTGTTTCTAGCATTCTATCGGATTGTTAATTTGTTTCCAACAAGTCAAATGTAATTAAGAACGCAAACACGCAGGTCGCAGAAGAATGGTTTGGAGTGATACTAGGGGCACACTCTCAAACACACCTCCAACCACACCCCCTCTCTCATTAGCTACAGTGTACCGGGTCTCACATGAGATTTTAAATTTTTAAAATCCCATGTGGGGCCCGGTGCATTGTAGCAAATGAGAGAGGAGGTGTGGTTGGAGGTGTGGTTGGGGGTGTGCCCCTATCATTTTCCAATGGTTTGTGTATTAATCGGCTGGCAAGCAAATAAATAAGTTCATAACAACATGAACTATGCAGGCAAAATGTTTATTTATTGCTCCTACAGTAACAATGTTTGCGTGGAGATGGAGTTGCATTAGCATTTTCATGAATTATATTGCACTTGTAAATGGGCTGCAAACTTATTTGAATGGTTTTCTCGAATAGGTGGCTAGGCCCATAAGCCCACTGTTTTAGTGTAGAGTTCTCGTTGCGTGACGCATTTATCTTTGCCGAATACTTAATGCAGAAGAGAAGGCAACTTGTTTTTATTACCTTCGCACATTGGAAATCTTAAAATACGTTTTCTCAACATTTTGTTATCCCAATATTGTTTTTTTAGTATGAATGTTGTTATTGGACCACATTTCCTTTTTTTTTCATCCTATTCCTTGGTACGAGTAACATGTAAATACTGACAAAAGTTAAATAAACTATGGTTTTATTAAAAGAAAATATGAGAAAAATGTCATTTGATATATATGCACTTCTTCATGGTTGGAAAAAGTTTGGACTTTCTAAGAGCATGGCATGCAAAAGACATTTTTTTAAAAAAAAAGGACAATATTCCTACTAAAGATATGTTTGGTTGCTTGAAACTATTATCTATAGCCTAAATATCAGAAAAACCACTTAAGTTAGGGTTTATAAAAAATACCTTCTAAAAGCGTGTGAATTGTAATTTTAACTCGCAAAAATGTTCTCTTTTATGTAATTTTATCAATCCATGTGAAATTACAATTTTTTTATGCTTAGCCTGTTAGAAAGATTTTCTGGTAAAATTTTAAAGTTAAAAAAGATTTGCTGATAACCCTTGCGCCTCGTTTGGTACGTGGGAATGGACAGACTTGGGAATGGAATGGAAGAAGGAATAGAATGGATTGCATGTGGGAATGGAATGGTCATTCTCATTCTCTTGTTTGGGTGCGTTCGTAGAATGAAGCTAGAATGGAAATCTCATTCCCATTCCCATGTTTGGTATCACTAGTACACAAGTGAGAATAAAATCTCATTTTCTAATAATGCTCTTACAACAACATAGATTTTTAATAAGATAAAAAATAAACATTAATGATAATAACTAAATAATTTTATATACGCATATGTTATATTAATCTAGGTATGTGTTATACTAATGCTCGTGTTATCCATCAGGTGTATGTTTCGTTTATATTTTGTAAACAATACTCGATATTTCTTAGTCTTAAAAATTAAAGAAAAATAATAAAAAAAGATTATCGTATCTTTCATAGGTCCAAAAGAAAAAGAATGATATCCACAATCCACAGTTCTAGATATATAAATTAACTTATTTGATAAAGTATCAAAATCACTCAATTCATAATAGCAAAAATCCATAAAACAATACCAACTAAAATAATAAGTTTCGAAATAGCAAAATGATATACTAGCCTAAATTGTCAATCTAAAATTGCCCACTTGCATAGCGCCTCACCCAAACATTCTTTATTATTAATATGGATATAATTAAAAAATACCTAACTAGTTTTTGATTCTCACTTGAATGGGAATGACCATTCCTTATCTTCTCACTTGGAATGCTCATTCCCATAAATAGTGGGAATGATCATTCCTAGGGAATGGTCATTCCAACATCTAAAATATAGGTGTGTTTGGTATGAGGGAATGGGAAGTGGGAATTGCATTCCATTCCTCCTTATTCCCGCGTACCAAACGAGGCGTTGGTGTTTCTCCTCGTTTAAAAGTTTGTTTGGTTCGAGCCCTTTTCACTTTTTGATCTTGACGGGTTTCGAATCCGCACGTGGATCCGACTCGAATCCAACCCGTTACAAATTCACGCAGTTCCTTGGCCCCAAAACCGAACTAGGGCAATCCCAATATTGAATTACGAAAACCTAATCCCAATTCCTTCCCCCCAAATTGAAAAGATCCCCGCACAAACTAAGGTTTATCTCTGCCTCTATATTGATTTTCATTAGTTTTTCGTAACCTTGTAATTTATGCTCTGTTGAATTTTATGATACATTGGAGTTCTTGCTCTCTTAAGAATGAACTCACATGGGGAACTAATTCAATCCTCAGCAAATTGGTTTCTTTATCATTAATGTTACAGTGGATCAAGCTAATGTTACCCTGCAAAATTTTGAGTTACTATTTTGATTTATTTATTTACTTAGCGGAAAAATGTTACTAGAGACCCATCAGAAAATAAAGTTCTGTTCAGGCATATGAAATTGGTCAATGCCCATGTCCTACTTATTTTAGATCACGTTTTGCTCATAAAAGATTTTGATATAATGTGCTCTATTGTTAATAATTGGATTGATAGCTATGTTGGGTTTCTATTTTCTCTAGGCACAATGGAGATTGCGTCAGACTCCCATGGGAATAATGGCTTTCCTGTGCGTAATAAGAGGGTATCCTTAGATATAAAGGTCTCTTACTATCTTTATCTCATGCGGATTGTGTTCTATTTTCACGTTACATGTATGACAACAACTTTCTGGAAATTGAACATGACACTGACTACCAACTCTTATATGATCGAGTTCCGGGAATGCGGTGTATATGTTGTTTGATTTATACCAGTGTTGTGTGTACTATATATATTGCTAACATATGTGTCATTTAAAGAGTCTTTTTTTTGGTGTTACTGATAATATGCTATATAGAAACTGACCGAATTGTTAAAACAATGAACAGACTGCAGGAGTCATATGGGTGTCTTAAACTACTACCTTCATGCTCTTGATGGAATTTCTGAACTTTCTCTAGATTCAATAGAAAAGCTTTCCGTCCTTGGTTTAGTTGTGTCCCTATAGTAATCTGATAACTAGAAATCTTTAGTTACACTTGACCTCCCCCCCACCCCCAACACACACACATGCTTGCAAGCGCAGACATACAACTTCATTTCCTGTAAAATTGTTTTGGATCATCATATATTCAATGCAACATCGTTTGTATTGTTTATACTTTATAACTTTATTTCAAAAAAATTCTGCTTTCTTGATCCTTGCTAGGGACAGTGATATTTTTTGCTCTTTTTGCACCATTGAAAAGAAAACTTTTACGCTCATGTCTATCATCTAATTCTTATTTTAGTTGAAATATTGCTAACTGCTATATGTCCTTGTGAAATACCATGTCTACCTAACTTCTAATTCAATATTGTCATATATGATATTAATATTGGAGTCTAGAACTCTACATTGAGCTCCAACATCTATCAGATTGTCAAGTTCCACTTTGACATGCTGTTACTGTATAATCCAAAAACAGACATTTTTTTTGGGCTGACTGAAATGCACTGTTAAATGATATGTTGCAAGCATTCTGTGAAGTAACAATTGCTTGTTCTCTTTTGTATCACAGGGAAATAGAACGGACATCCTGATGTGCACTTACGATGATTATATTCTGGTACATCACAGTCCATATTGTTTGAATTAGCATCCAATTTTAAAGATACTTAAACTTGGTTATTGTTCAGGTCATGGTTACACAGATAGGATGCATGGGTACCATAGTGCATGCCAGGTCAGCACTTTTCTTCTGCATTCTGCATTTTGCAATTTTGAAATTGATCAATATATAAAAATTTGTGTTATGCAATGAGACCCGATTAACTTAGAACTTTCATGAAGCGTACACATTAAACTTTTTGGTACGATCAATTACTTGTGCTGAATTACTTGAGGAATGGTCCCATTATTGGTTTCCTTGTGTGTACAGTATATGTCTGTCTATTAGGGGTATGCATGGGAAAACTAGATACAAATTATATTGGGAGCAAAAACATATTTACTTCATATTTTAAGGGTACCTTTTTACTTTCAAATTTCGCAGTAGTTTACGTGGATTGATTTCCTTATTTGTAAATTCTCATTAAGTACAACACTTTGCCTTGCATCTCTGCATGAATTTAATTATCTGGTGAAAGTCCTGCAATTGACTGGAATCTCTGTGGCATATGACCATAGCGTGCTATTGGTGGTGTAGATAGTGATTTTATATCTATGCCTTTGTGTATTGATAGGGTTACACAGGTATATGTATCCAATCTATACTGTTTCTTCAGCTTTCTATATTTTTCTTTTCCTCATCCTTCTATTTCCATTACCTGATTAGGATTCAAATTGTTTAAACAGTTTTTCCTAGGTGCTTGACATAGTCTAGCTACCACTGAAATCTTAGGCTTTCCAAATGTGAATCAGTTCATGATTTGAATTAGTTAGTTTGTTGTGTAGTTAACTAGTTTTTCCTTTCTAGCTAGTGATCAATAAAAAGTGTATGAGGTTTCATTAAAATATCCTTTACAATCTTAAAATATCCATGCTCAGCAGCTCATGGTTATGGCTGTAATGTTCCGTCTGGTTTCAGGAAAGAAGCTGATGTAACTGTAGACCCCACTTTCAACGTTTCTGTAGTGTTTGGTAAAAGAGATGAGGTGAGGTGATTGTTTTTGTGCGGTTTGGATTATTATTCATCTAATGAATTGGAAGTTGATAGCACTTCAATTAATCTTTTCAGCCTCTTCTGATCGCATGTGCACGTCAACTCATTGAACATATAAGGTCTGATATTCTCTTTGTTTCCATATCTATTAAGACGGCTAATGTCACCAAATCATAGTTGACATGAAATAGAAGAAACTGAATCTACCAAAAATGACATTTCCGCCTAGTCGTTAGTATGCTACAATTTAAATATGTATATAACTTACACACAGGTCAATTGGAATGCTTATAGCAGTGATATCCCTTAATTGATCAATAATCTCTTGTTATTTCCAATGCAGTTCTTGCGGTTCATCTAAGCCATTGGTATTGTCTCTTGGTTTAAAGGACCACTCGCCGGTAACACTTCGAGTGTAATTGATTTACCGTGTTGAGTGATGAAATAGTCTTTCACCGCCATTTCCTTGTTCTCTCCCCTCGCAGGGAGTTCTGAAAGATGTGATTGCTGCTGTCATCGAGCATCGTGCTTGGTAGAATTGCTGCATCAAAAGCCATTGCGTTACATACGTATCACACCATACAAGGCGAGCTTTTTATTTTAGCGGTACACAGCTTCTTCTTGTATCACATCGCACCGAGTTCCACAAAAAGAACTTGTAAAAGCTAGTATTGAGACTATTTGGATGAGGCATTTTGTCTGAACAGGACATCAAATCTGATTTTGTAGTAGTTGTATCTGTCATAGAAAGCCTAGCACTTGGTTTTGTTTCTTCCCTGAGCTCCAACGAAGCCCGCCATTGTATTTGCTGAAAATTGTCCCTACGTAACTTTCTATGAACTGTATTGAAGGAGCGTTCAAGTGAATGTATTATGTAATCTACAGTATCTCATTCCAAGGTAGCTTCATCCTAAAATAAATTTCTCCTTTGGGATGAATATTTACACAAATCTGATTTTGATGAGATACAACCTCTATAAACTGGAGTAGCAAACTCTCTCCTGCAGGCCATTGAGCGCAAGTGCGGTGGGCCGGTGAGAGCGTGTGTTTGTTCTGCTTAGCGGACGGACACACCAATTGCCAGAGGAGGTTTTATCATTTTTGGTCAGGACGCGGATTTTGGTGTATGCAGTCTTTGTAGAGGAAATTCTTATATATTTATTTTAGGATTATTTTATGGATCTTTTATTTATTTTGTTAGCCGAAGAATTTACTAGATTGAACTTTACTAGTTTGAACTTAATCGTTTGTTTTTACTCTCCATGTACGTGCACTTTGCATCTGTTCCAAATTGTGGTGAATCATGGTGGTCCCATATTTGATACGTGTACCAGGCGAAGTGCCAGTAAGTAATGCAAAATATTAGACATGTAAAGCAAACGCTCTGCTTGCTTTTCTCTAGATGAATTCTTGTCGTTTGTGGAACATGTACTATCCTTTTTTTCTCGTTGGTTTTAATAACCAACAATAATAATGCATACTATTAGACATGTGAAACATACCGACGATAGCATTTTGTGAAGCGCTTGTAACCATTCTATCTGCTTGCTGGTAAAATGGGGGGAAAACCTCAAAAGTCCAGTAAGACTAATCCAAGCGGTCGCAATTTGAACAATGGTTTTAGCAAAATCTATAAAAACATATTTTCAGACTTGTGAGGTTATTTCATCAATGTTAGAATAATTATTTTGATCAGGCATCCATAATAGCATACTCATGAAAAATGTCACGCCCTAGGTCAAAAATATAATTATATTGATGTGACTCGTCCACAATGCAACCATGAATTTTTTTTATCTGCATAGTTGCATTCACGTCTCTATAAAACATCATGCTTATAATTTTGCTAGAACTCTATCTACAGAGCATGTACACATCTAAAATATAAAAAAAAATGTAAAATAAAGGTTAAACTAGAGAATAAAAAGGATATTTCAAGAACAATCAGAGTCTCAACGAGAAGCACATCTATCCAAATGGAACAATGGGAGAGACCACAAGTCTCAAAAGAAATGCAATGCCACCTGCGGCTAAAAGATAATGCACAGTTTAATTTTAGAGGAATTGATATATAGTTTAGGGAAGAAGAAGGGAAGAAGACACATGAGATTCATGTGTCTTATTTCACCTAGGTTTGGTTAGGTGAGTTAAGGGGATATCACGTGCATAACACATGAGGGAGTTGGAGGGTATAATGGTCAGGGCACAAAGTTTTTTGGCTGAAAACAGATAAAGGTTTGACATTGAAAACATGTTAGCAAATAAAGATGATATTAATAAAAAAACTTTAAAAGTGGTAAGCATAGATAAAAGTAAAGATAGTTTTAACGTAAATATATATGGTCTGGAGCCCAACCCAACTCTCGAGAGTGCAAACGAGTCATCTATTTTGAAACGTCAATGGAAAATGTTGATGCCACTCTCCCTGCCCTACTTTGATATTGCTACTCAAAAAGAGCGAGGTCATAATAACTCATCACTTAAAAATTAGGATAAATTTCTTTAAAAAAAGGATAAATTTTCAAGATAGGCCATATTTATAACTTATTTGTAAAAATCGACTCATTTGTAATTTATTCACCATTTTTGATCTGATTTCAACTAACTAGCTGATACTGGGTCGAAAATGGTAAATAAAACTTCAGGGGATTCTAATTTCCGTGAAGTTTAGTGAAGCCCTAAACTTCAAGGGATTTAGAATTCCATAAATTTTTTAAAACTTTTTTATCATTTTCAAGTCAGTTTCAGCCACTTGGCTAAAACTAGATCGAAAGTAGTAATTAAATCTTAAATGAGTTTAAAATTAAATTTTTAATAGAGCTTACTTTGAAAATTTATCCTTAGAACTATAGGGATGAGTCATCATAATCCCTCTTTGATGAGTGGAAGTGTCAAATATGTCATCAGCTGTCATTTCATTGAAGTTTTAATGCCTCGGATCTGATCCAGGGATTTGATTTATTATGAAGGAAAACACTACAGACACACCCCCAACCACAACTTAAGGCACACCCCCTCTCTCAGCTATAGTGCACGGGACCCATTTTAGATTTTTTTTTTAAATATCTAAAGTGGGTCCCGTGCACTGTAGCTGAGAGAGAGGGTGTGCCCCAAGGTGTGGTTGGGGGTGTGCCTGTAGTGCCACTCTATTATGAACGCTCGCAGAAGTCATGAACACCTCGTTTTTTTGAAATTATGCCTGGACCCCGGATGTTGGTGCAATTATTATTATTATTATTATTTTATTGTTAAATGGTAAAACAATCGTATCTCCGCGTATTTGGGGTATTTGAAGACAGCCCACTACCATGGCCTCTCTCTTTCCGGTCTCTCTTTTCGCGAAATCATACTCCCTTTAAAAGTGGGAGTTCTTGAAAAACTTTTATTGGTCAATTTTACCCCTAATCCTTTTCAATATAGACATTCTTATTCTAATTATAATTGGTTATCAACTAAAGCTAATAAATTAAAATTAAACTCCTAAATTAAAGCTCTCTCCATTCAAAAAGTAATCAATAAAAAAATTAATCTAACTAGAATTGATTCTTATTCTAATTATAATTGGTTATCAACTAAAGCTAATAAATTAAAATTAAACTCCTAAATTAAAGCTCTCTCCATTTAAAAAGTAATCAATAAAAAAATTAATCTAACTAGAATTGGTTGACAACTAAAGAGTATAAAGAAGATTAAACTCCCGAATTAAAGCTTCCTCAATTCAAAACCAATTAATAAAAAATTAATCTAATTATAATTAGTAAACAACTAAAGAGCAGAAAGAATCTTAGAGCGCATTAGCATTGTAAACATAATATGCATTGCACGTGTAAATATTAACCAATTGATTGATGCCAAATTATATATAGAATTAGTTAATTATCAACAAAAATTAATTAATTAAAGTATTTTTTGTAGTAGTCCCTTAAATCTTTCATATTTTGAAATTAGTCTGTCAAAGCATTGAAATTATTATTAGGTAACTCAATTCTTAAGTTATTTGAAATTAGTCATTCAAATCAATGGTATAATTAGCAATTTGAGGGACTAATTTTCCTCTAATTGCTTTTTTTTATTCTTGATTGGAGAATCTGATATCAAAATAACTTAAGAATTACGGATGTAATAGCTATTTCAATGATTTGATGAATTAGTTTTAAAATAATAAGAATCGAGCGACCTAATAGTTCAATGTGGTTATCTTTGCAAACTTATGGAGAGGTTTTCTTAAATGATGATATGTTTTCTTATTCTACAGTCATTAGGGATTAAGACAGAATATTTTTTTTCCTTTTCTTTTTTACTTCATAAGAATTTTATGTCATCTGTTATTATTAGATTTGAGGCATTGAAGAAATTAATTGCTATATGAGCGAATAATCTTTTCGAATAATGTGTAGCTTACATTACTCATGGTTTATAAGTGAATAATCTTTTCCAATAATTTATAGCTTACATTGCTTATGATCACAATGACACATAAAATAAAAGTTGAAATTACATAAATGTAAGTATTAAGAAAGTTCACATATAATATTACATCATCAAGTTGAGATTTAAAAGAATCATTTTTACACCCGAGTTATACTAAAGAAATAAACCGAACAAATAACCACGTGCGATGCACGTGTATCTGTCCTAGTTATCATAAACGAGCGGCTCTATAAATACACTCCGTCCCGGTCGCCAAAACCCTAGCCGCCCATAAAATTTCCTCATCTGCCCTCTCTCAATCTCGCCAAAACCCTAGCAAAAAATCTCAAGTGCCCTCATCTACCCCCGCACCAAGCCCTCAGTCTTCACCAGTCCTCAAATCTCAGATGAGGTCTCATCAAATTTCCTCATCCTCCCTCTCTCAATCTCGCCAAAACCCTAGCGAAAAATCCCAAGTGCTGCCCTCATCTACTCGCGCTCAAACCTATCGTTCTCCCCCAATGTGCCAAAACCCTAGCCGCCAATCCCCCCCAATTCCTGGGCATCCAGCCCCAACTTCTGGGGATCGAGATCCAATGGCTGCCCGACTTCTGGTGGTTGGGTCTAAGGCTCGAGGTGGTGAGGTGCCACAGTTATGCTTGTTTTTGTAAGTTTATTTTGACTCTTTACACTGTAAACTATTAAATCTACAAGCTCTCTAGAACAAACTTAGCATTTGAGCATGTTAAGCCATCTGCACATGAAGAAAGATTATTTCAGTAACAAAAAATATTATAAAACTAATAAAATATGACAAGAAATTAAAATTTAAAAAATAATAGTTAAATAATTGTCTATTTTTCCCTTCATTGTTCCTCAAGGCGTGCAACAACAATCATAACAACATGATGTAAAATGTCACTGCCAATAGAAAAAATGTACATCAGAAAATGAAACAAAAAGAATTGATATAAGACAAAAAATTTGTACATATCCCACGTAGCTTTTATCCAGATATTTTTGCAGAATAGCTCTAATAGATTTCTCATCGACAATATCATTTTCCCATAAAGCAATGAGAAAATACGAATAAAATTGCTCTGAAACCCCTCTAAGAAGATGCCCCTCTGAGAAGCAAAGGCTCCATAATCTCTCCATTAGGTATACTTCAGACCCAGTGCACATTTTTAGACATTCAGATCACTTCATAACCTAAAAGATCAATAACAGATAAGTACAAAATTAATAGAATTTTAACTCGAACTACTAAAAGAAATTAAAAAATGTCATACCAAAGATTTTGTGATATCTCTCTTCTTGGCCACCAAGAATGTCTCCTCCAACATTATTTTTGTGAGCAAATCAATAATAGCCAAAGAAGTTAGCGGTGTAGCATTTTTATTCATCAGTTGAATGAAGTTCTCCACAATAGTAACAACACATATATTCATATGATGTATCCAAAAAACTATTAGATAGAAACCAACAGCTCATAATAAACATATATTAAATGCAACTTACCCACTAATTTTATTATCTTTAAGTGGTTATACCATTTTCTGATATATTCTCTTTAGTCTTGGAGATCTCCTAGAAAACGTCCCAGTAGATCTACATGAAAAATTGTCTTTTAAATTAATGTTCGTCTTTTAAATTAATGTTCTTTGGGGGAATTACAAAATAATTAAAAAACATTGCAAACTAGGTTTGCATAGAATATAAATTACATACGAAGAAATTGATCTTCCCACAAAAATAAAGTATTGCACAAATCTTCTCCAACGTGACATTTTAGTGGGAAAGGAACCTAATGTTTTAAACCACTAATATGGAAGATGCAAAATGAATTAAATTGAGTGATACAATTAAGTCAATGAGAAACGAACATACATGGCAACGACAAACAACTTTATTAGAAAGAAAATCCAAAATAAGAAATTTTCTGCATAAACTACATATAAGGAAAGGACAGTGCATTCAATTAGATATTTTAAGAAAAAAAATAATCCATCAGATTCATCGATCAAATTACCTGTATACAGATAGTAGGAGCTAAATTAGACCAGACAAAAAGAGAAAAGCTAAGTGCAATATCAAATTTGAACTCTAATATAAAGATTAACTAAGAATGAACGATAAAGATATCAAAAAATTGCTTGAGATTTTTTTACGCCTTCTCAAGTCTCTCAATATTATGAAATATTTAATCCAATGATATTCATTTCAACTAATTTAATGTAAGGAAAGATAAATGCAAATACAAAAAAACTTACATTTGGCCACGTAATTCAGAAAGTAAACTTGGCTTATCAACAACTTTGTTAAGTTCTCCAACTTGAACTCGACGGGTAAGAGCTTTTTCGGATGCTCGTACTTTTTTCTTCTTTAACAAGGAAAAAAATAAGTTAAAACACAAATTAGAAATGGTTAAATTCAAGATACTCTCTCAACCTAGATCTTAGTTTCAAGAAACCTCTTCGCCTATTAAACTCAAAAAAAAAAATCTTTTGTTCTATACAACTTTTTAAAATCATTAGTTTTTAACAATGATCTCAGTACCCAAAGTTTAGATCCCAAAGCAGCCGCTTGTTTACTAACAAAAAATCTCTTCTTCTCATTGTTATTATTATAATTGTTTTTCTATGAAATCCAGGGGGCCAAGGGCCCAGTTGGACCATATATGGCTCCGGTTTCCTAAGTTCATTTTTAACAATAATAATAACAATGAGAAGAAGAGATTTTTTTAGTAAACAAGCTATTGCTTTGGGATTTTAGGCACTGAGATCATTGTTAAAAACTAATGATTTTAAAAAGTTGCATAGAACAAAAGATTTTTTGTTGGGTTTAATAGACCAAGGGGTTTCTTGAAACTAATGTATAGGTTGAGGGAGTATCTTGTATTTAACCCTTTTTAATTTGTGTTTTAACTTGTTTTTTTCCTTATTAAAGGAGAAAAAGTACGAGCATTCGAAAAAAGCTTATACTCGTCGAGTCCAAGTCGGAGAACTTAACAAAGTTGTTGATAAGCCAAATTTACTTTCTGAATTACGTGGCCAAATGTAAGCTTTTTTGTATTTGTATTTATCTTTCCTTACATTAAATTAGTTGAAATGAATATCATTGGATTAAATATTTCATAATATTGAGACTTGAGAAGGCGTAAAAAAACCTCAAGCAATTTTTTGATATCTTTATCGTTCATTCTTAGTTAATCTTTATATTAGAGTTCAAATTTGATATTGCACTTAGCTTTTTTTTTGTCTGGTAATTTAGCTCCTACTATCTGTACACAGGTAATTTGATCGATGAACCTGATGGATTATTTTTTTCTTGAAATATCTAATTGAATGCACTGATCTTTCCTTATGTGTAGTTTATGCAAAAAATATCTTATTTTGCGTTTTCTTTCTAATAAAGTTGTTTGTCGTTGTCATGTATGTTCGTTTCTCATTGACTTAATTGTGTCACTCAATTTAATTCATTTTGCATCTTCCATTTTAGTGGTTTAAAACATTAGGTTGCTTTCCCATTGAAATGTCTCTTTAGTGAAGATTTGTGCAATACTTTATTTCTGGGGGAAGATCAATTTCTTCGTATGTAATTTATATTCTATGCATACCTAGTTTGTAATGTTTTCTAACTATTTTGTAATCTCCCCGACGAACATTGGTTTAAAAGACAATTTCTCTTGTAGATCTGCTGAGACGTTTTCTAGGAGATCTCTAAGACTAAAGGGAATATATCAGAAAATGGTACAATCACTTAAAGATAATAGAATTAGTGAGCAAATTGTATTTAATATATGTTTATTATAAGTTGTAGGTTTCTATCTAATAGTTTTTTGGATACATCATAGGAATATATGCGTCGTTACTATTGTGGAGAATTTCATTCAACTGATGAATGAAAATGCTACACCGCTAACTTCTTTGGTTATTATTAATTTGCTCACAAATATAATGTTGGAGGAGGCATTCTTGGTTAGTGGTCGAGAAGAGAGGGATATCACAAATCTTTGGTATGACCTTTTTTTTAATTGCTTTTAGTGTAACTTTTCTTTTAGTAGTTCAAGTTAAATTTTCATTAATTTTGTATCTTATCTGTTATTGGTCTTTTAGATTATTAAGTGATCTGAATGTCTAAAGATGTGCCCTGGGTCTGAAGTATATACCTAATGGAGAGCTTATGGAGCCTCTGCTTCTCAGAGGGGCATCTTCTTAGAGGGTTTTCAGAGCAATTCTATTCGTATTTTCTCATTGCTTTATGGGAAATGGTATTGTCAATGAGAAATCTTTAGAGCTATTCTGCAAAAATGTTTGGATAAAGGCTACGTGGGGTTTGTACAATTTTTTTTGTCTTACATCAATTCTTTTTGTTTCATTTTTTGATGTACATTTTTTCTATTGACAGTGACATTACACATCATACTCTTATGGTTGTTGTTGCACGCCTTGAGGAGTAACGAGGGGAAAAGTAGATAATTATTTAACTATTGCTTTTTAATTTTTAATTTCTTATCATATTTTAGTAGTTTTATAATATTTTTGTTATTGAAACAATATTCCTTCATATGTAGATTTGGCCTAACATGCTCAAATGCTAAGTTTGTTCTAGAGAGCTTGTAAATGGAAAGTAAAAAAGTTTTCTATTCTGTTTTGGGGCTGTTGCCTTATTGCAATTTGTAAGTACGTATGTTGGTATAAGACGTTCATTTTCTCTGTTGCAATTACATGTTTTGCCATTGTTGTGGAACATAAAATTCTGTTGGTTGTAAGTTTTGAGATTGGCCTAAAACAGCACTTTTAATGTGGTTATTCTGTTACTAAGCTTTTGTGAATCATCTAAAGCTTTCTTTCTGTAATTGTTGTTGTCGGTCTGTTGGATAATGGGTGGAGATAGGGCTGGATTGGTAGGTATACCAATTACATTTTCCTAGTACCATGTACCAACCAATATATAATTTGTAGGAAAATTTCACCATTTCTACCAACCAATAACGTTGGTATACCAACTACTTGGTACGGTTGGTACGGTTGGTAATGGGCTTCTACCAAGATATTTATGGCCCAGGTTAACAGTTACAATTTTACACAACACCATTACAAAAAGTTAAAAAGAGCATAATTCTCCTGCTGCCAAAGGCCAAATGTGTCTTACTAATTGTCTAATTCAGTAATTCATTGTTGCAAAATAAGTAAAAAACTAATAACAAATAACAACACAAATCCAAACTCCAAAGTCTTATACAAATTCAACCAAATTACCGAATACGAAGTCATAAATTGAACATGCCAAAGTCCAAACTTCTCTGTCTCTTTGATTAGGCCTTCCTTGTTCATATCCATGAAATGGGCAGCACAATGAAGGATGCAAGTGTTGGTTGGATTCAATTGAACCCTGCCATTGCCATAGCAAAACCTTGTTATGAGCTCAAAAGCCTCAGCTCCTCCTGGTAACTCATGGAGAACTACTTTAAGAGTCTTTGCTGTCTCCATTACTGAAGGCTTGCTGAATAGTTCACTTAGTCTACCACAAAAGGAAGAAAGAATTTCCTGTAAAAAAGGAAAATATTACAGTCAGACTTTTACATGAATTAGCCCACATCTAATCCCTTTCAAAAGTTTTAACAGCTTTTGGCTGTTGACAACCAAACAGGGGGGCATTCAATTCATGGGAAAGGGGAATCCTAGCAGATTGATAAGGAAACAAGAAGGTAACTTGTAGTTATGGGCATTAAATAGAGGAAAAGGAATAGGGGAGGCAAGAGAGCAGTACGATTCCTCCCTAATTGGTAAAGAAGCTTTAAATTCATTGTAAGAGAGGTGAAAGGGTGAGAATCGCAATAAATTCTCACATGAAGAGAGGCCATAAATGAGTGGAGAAAAGAGAAGAAAAATGGCAAAACCTTGAATAGGGCCTCGAGCGGTGGAGTCGGAGAGGAGGAGGGGGAGGTCGAGGCCGCGAGGGTGAGGGCGCCGGCGGCGACGCTGATCTGAGCAAGGGGATGTCGTTGTGACTCGTGTCGAGGGCGGAGGAGAGGGCGGAGGAGAGGGTCGGGACTGGCCAGAATCCAGATCTGGTTTGAGGTTTGAGATGTGAAGATGAGTAGATAGGGATCGATCGTTTTGAAGGAGGAGCTTTTGAATGGAGGGTTGAGATTAACTGAGGGGTTGTGAAATGGATATATAAGTCGGTAGGTACGGTATACCATGGTAGAGGGAAAATGCGTACCACCTACTGTACCGTATTTTGAAGCTGGTACGGTATACTGTACCGTGTACCGTATACCGATTTGATGGTATACCAACGTATTTGGTACGGTTGGTACATGAATTGGTTGGAATGGAATTGTGTACCATTGCCAGCCCTAGGTGGAGATACATATTTGTGGTAATTCTATTATTTTTTTTGGGAAACTTTTATATTCAAAAATTTTTGGTAACATTACTGTACAGTTGTTGAGATCTTTTTGCTTGCGTGCCTCTATGTCGTGCTACTCAGTGTTTGGTATTTAATTCCTAATTATTTCACTAAAGCTAAAATGTGATAAGTCTGGACTTAAAGAACCAAGTTACCTCCTAACAAGTTTCAGACCCACAGACTGGATATTTTATCTAGCCAGGCCGCAAGGGTGTGTTTCAGATTCACATAGCTTTTTGTATCGCTGTCGTTATTGCCCCTCCGATGGTATTCGATAGGAAGTCATCGACGCAAGTCTTGTTTCTTGTTGCTTAATTGATAAAGCAAGAGAGATTACTTGTAAGCAGGCTCGCGTTGCCTGAAATAAGGGCTAGAATAGGTAGTTAAAAAGATTTTGAAACTAAAGTACATGTTTTATATGAGAAAATAATTTTCAATTAAGAACGCTCTTGATTCAACGGCTCTGGATATAACTGGGAAGCAGAGATAGATTTGAGCAAAGGAAAAAGCTGATAAGAACATGCAAGTAAATTAGCTGCAAACCTGGAGGAAGCACCTGGTGCTACATAGTCAAAAGAATTCTGGTGGTGGAAAATAAAGAAATAGCTACTAATTGGTCACACCAAAAGTAAGCTCCGTGGTCTGTACTTTGTTATTAATCCTTTAAAAATACGAGAGTAAATAAGTCAAAATCACTTTTTTATGTTTAACTACTTAACCAAGGAGGCTACCTATTGCTGAAGGTGGAATGCTAGTTATTAAATACGATCAGCTTTCTATCGAGTCATCTTGATTCGAGTTAAACTCTATTGATTTTCCCGATTTGGTTATAGTAATTTGCTACAATGGTTCTCTTTATCATTGTCTTATGAATGCGCTTCGATATAAATTAATGACATAGGAGATCAGCACCTACGCAATCACTTATGTGTACGTGCGTGTCTATCCATATTTATATTTCTTCATACATTCATACACACATACATACATAAGTGAAAAATTATTTAGAATGAATAGTCCATCATCCCACATCAGAAGACATGTCCTTTCCTAATAAAAATACTTTATTAACCAAGGGGAGAGGCAGAGAGAGGTTCAACTTATATTGAAATGAAGATCAGCCAAGGAGAAAGGCAGAGATTCAACATTTGCAAAGCCATCATCCTACATCAGAAGACGATTGCAGTTTCAGATCCATTTTAGAAAAGTTTACACTACAAATTTTGAGATAATGTAGACATGCAACTGCAAGAACATTACAGAGGCTCAAATTAACGGCAACAACTTTTCCTTCCGCTATAGGAATGAGTAAAGCTGAGACCACCTATAAGATAAATGACCTTTAGTTAAGATCATCAGCGCAGACATGAAACCTCCATGAGTTACTGTCCAATTCATCCGATCCCAAATTGAAGTACAAATCCATATAAATCCCGACCAGTTCTTTGTATCGCTTCACTTGTTGACACAAAACCATGCAAATCCATCACCAAGATATCTTAATCTGATCAGTTCAAAAAAAAAAAAAAATTACTTTCATCATCTAAGAAGAGAAAACAAACATCTACATCACGTTAAAAAGAAAATCCAGGTTCAAGTTTCGTACCCTCGCTCACCCATTTCCACACCTTCCCTCACTGAGTCACTATTCCCCGATCATCTCAACGAAACAATGACAAAAAGAAGAAGCCACAAAAAGGGGCGCCTCACCAAAATACCCTCGAATTCAAAGAAACAGATATAGCGCGAAGAGGGAGGCTGAAACTTTGCGCATAACTTCCCCGAAATACCCTTTGAGTTCAAAGAAACAAAGAAAGAACGAATAGGGGCAAAACAGGAACAGCATAGACGAACAGGAGGGTCAAACTTTGGCACAAAGGGAGAAAACGGGAAGGAAAGAAACAGCCCTTCTAGCTTTTGTACAATCTATAATTATAGGGAATACATGTCACTGTTCACTGTGAAGAAAGTCCTTTTTAGGAGCATTTGGTCATATTCATTCACATATCTGTTTGCTTGTAAACTACTGACTGTTTCTAAATAATCTGATCATATAAGGAGAGTGAAGCCTTCGGAACATATAAGAAGTACATGACTGTGATATGGGTGCACTGTAGGTAAGAAATCGAGCGTTTTCAAATAAGCATGGCCAGAAATTTTTAGGGACTTTGACAGGTTTTGACAAAATGAGGGCATAACAAAAACATACTATGATAAAAAAAACTCACGACAGAACATAATCATGGAATAGATGAATATCATCTTGATAGTGAAACATACAAGTATCAAAGTTTTAGCTTTATGCAGGCAAGAGTCACATAATTGAAATTAAATCGCATCACATTATGTTCAGTCTTCAGCAGAATCACTAGCCAACATGTGATGCCCACGTGTCAGGGATTGAAACACACCCACTCCTACCTCCAATGTCTGCACATGCCGATCCATTAACCTCGCATAAACTACCCAGTCACCTTCACGGCTACTTACTGGCATCGGTATAATATATCCAACTATCCCATCCCAACCAACATGATACGATCCTAAATTTGGCTGACCGTACCCAAAACCAACTTCTGATACATCTTCTTCCTGATGAAACTACAAACGCAGATCCATAATCTTCCTCTTCGTGATTCACATTTGAAGTAATTCCTTTTATGCTTTGTTTGCCTACCATATACATTAACCTAAAAAGTGCTCCTTCATCGTTCATTTTATCCAACATGTCAACAATCTCACTTAACTTCATCAATCTTAAATCTTTGGATTACTTTTTCTTTTTGAAAGTCACACATATTACATTTCCAAAATAAGAAGACATCTCATAATTCACTCTCGACACCATCAACCATAACGGCCATCTTGCTTTTCTTTTCAGGGTTGCATTTCATGCCTTTCACAATTGCTTGCCGGAGAAATGCGCTGAAAGCTTGCAGTTTGGTGGTTGCTTTGGAGAGAGTTTGGAGGTGGTTGATGTCCTTCGAAGAAACATAGTATATGCAGCTGATAAGGCTGCAATCATTTGAGTGAGAGAACGAAGAAGCAGGGGCATAGCGATTGGAAATGGAGGAACAATAGTGGGCAGGACAAAAAAAAATTCGAGAAGAGAGCGACTGAAGGAACATTTAAAAGAGAGTTGTGATTTGAACAGGTGAGCTCCGACCAGCCAACTAGGAACATTTTAAGAGAGTAAGCTGTTGTTCGCCGCGGAAGCCGATTCGACAAACAAATAGCACACACAAGAACAATAATAGACCACAATAAAACAAGCAACACCCAATCACAGCAAGAACACAATATTTTTACGTGGTTCGGCAATTTTGCCTACGTCCACGGGAGCGGCACAATAATCTCTTATTAATAACAAGAAATTACAAATAAGGGAGAGGATCTCAAACTTGAGATCTCTCAAACAAATAGCAATTGATTTTAATCTAAAATCAATGCTCAAACTTGAGATCTCTCAAACAAATAGCAATTGATTTTAATCTAAAATCAATGCTCAAACACTCTCTCTTAATTTCACAATAACCCCTCAAAGAAAAACTCCGATTTTAATCTAAAATCAATGCTCAAACACTCTCTCTTAATTTCACAATAACCCCTCAAAGAAAAACTCCCATTTAATTCCACCAACTCCTCTTCTCCTTATTAATGAGAACAGGACCAACAAATTGGGGCTCACAAATCGGAGGGAGAACGGACGCCAAAAATCAGAGGGGAAAAACAAATCTCCTCCTCTGCTCACGCTCTCTCTCTCTCTCTCTTCCTGCTCAAAACGCCACCTCTCCAAAGGGGGTTTCCGCCGCTCATTTTATACCGCTGAGAATAGGGCTTCCCTTTTATAGGGAAACCCTAGGCGATCGATGCGATCCAGCTGGTCCCAGCTATCCTCAACCACTGCAGGCGAATTCACGATCTACAGGCGAGATCGCTACAGGCGAGATCGCTACAAGCGAGATCGCTATAGGCGAGTTCCGCTCGCCTCCCAAGCCCGACCTCGCCACACTCCACCTGCGATCTCGAACAGGCGACTTTCCTCGCCTCCTCAACTTCGCCATCGAAGACGAACAGGCGACCTCAACTTCACCATCGAAGACGAACAGGCGACCTCTGGTTCTCCCTTCAACAAATCTCCACCTCGGCAAAGTTTACCCAAAAAAACTGAGCCGACACCGACCACACCAAAATAACAGTGTCTACTCACCAAATCGGCTGTATCAAAACTGACTGCCTACGTATCCTCTTGCCTAATGAATCAAGCCTTCACGTAGTTCACCTTAAATAGCCCGCCAATGGCCTCAACAACGAAGAACGTTCAATAAGTTCAAACAATGACCAAACTTCACACCTGGTACAACTTTGGTCAACATATCAGCATGGTTGTCCTTAGTGTGGACCTTCTCCAACATGACATCACCATCATCCAATACGTCACGTACAAAGTGAAATATGACATCAATGTGCTTCGTGCGTGCATGGTAGACTTGGTTCTTTACCAAATAAATAGCTGACATACTATCACAATATACCTGAATGGTCTCCTGTGCAATCCCCAAATCATCCAACAAACCATGTAGCCACAAAGCCTTCTTCACTGCTTCAGTCACTGCCAAATATTCCGCCTCCGTAGTAGAGAGCGCCACTATAGACTGAAGAGTGCATCTCCAACACACCGGTGCACTAACCAATGTAAAAACATAACCTGTAGTGGACCGATGTTTGTTAAGATCTCCGACATAGTCTGAATCCACATAGCTAATACAATCCTGCCATGTCTCATCATTCTTCACAAATATCAACCCAACATCCATGGTACCCTTAATATACTGTAGAATCCACTTCACGGCCTCCCAATGCCCCTTCCCGGGGTTGTGCATGTACCTAGATACCATGCTCACGGCCTGTGACAAATCTGGCCTCGTACACACCATAACATACATCAAGCTACCCACTGCACTAGCGTATGGAATATTGGACATGTAGTCTCGATCTTCCACTGAAACTGGTGACATCAAAGCTGAAA